CTTGCACTTTTCATGCCCGCCGGCTGGAAATTTCGTATTTCGTACATTTTTTTTTTTTTTTTTTTTTACCTCGCCAGCATCCCGGCACTTGGGTTTCAGTTTTCAGCGCTCGTTTTTCGGCTCGGTTTTGGGTTTCGGTTTTGGTTAGCCTTTTCAATTTAAAATGTAAATCAAGTGTGAAAAACAAAATCTGCAGCGAAAGTGTTGCAATTGCAATTTGCTCGTTGCGATTTTTGACGTTTCTCGCTCCGAGGCTGTGTATTGATTTATTTTGATTGTTAATCAATTTGGCGAGCGCTGTCCCCCCAACGCTGTCGCTCTGGTAATAGTTCAATGAAATTATAAATCAGTCGGCCGTTCCCGTTCCCTTCCCCCCTTCCCCCCTATTCCGGAATCCCCATTCCCCCGGATTTTAGTTATCGATGGCTGCCTGCCAGTCGAGTAATTCAAGACAAACCCGAAAGAATTCAAGTGACACACTTTTCCTCTCTCTCACTGCGGCACTATTAACCCATTGAGGGTGACACACAAATGTGCGAAGAGAAAAATCATTTAATTCGAACTTGATGAACAGTTCGTAACACAAAATTCCAATTTCGGATACCATTAATAATCATCGTGTGAGTCTTTTGAGCTATGTGTTAGAATTTCTAAGGATCGTTAAGAAATAAGAACAGTTTTTACTTTAGGGTCTTTAAATAAATAAAGTTTGTAACAAAATATTTTCAATTTGGGTACTTTAAATTACGTTCTTATGAATCTATTTAATGACGTTTTTTTAAAATATTAATGATTATTACAATTTAATTCTGTCCTAACTTCAACACTGTTTTAATTTGTAGATCAATAATAAATCTTTAAAAAAATAATGTTGGTTTCTTTTTAAAGAACTTATTTCTATTTAAATAAACTTTTAATCTATAAAAGAATTTAACCATTCGGTTAATGAGTATTCTTAGAAATATATTCTTGAATATGGTTCGTTTGCAAAATGTAGTTATGCACTTCAAGGTTCCTACAAATATTTTTACTTCAGTACTACAGTGCTTAATGCAAAAGAAAAATACCACCCATCATAACAAAAAAATGCTGTTTAAATAATATAGTTAGGCAGACATTGACCGACAGCTAATCTTTTCCTTTTTCCAACATATTTGCAATGTGGCTTAGCTGTTGTTCCTGGTCAAAATACAAAAAGGCATGCCCTGTTTTCCGTGGAATGTTAAACTCTTTTGCGGTTTACAAATATTTCAGAGTTCTTCGAAAGAACTTTCTTTCTCCTTGCCAAGAACCAGACTTTAGTGGGTTAAGTTGATTGGGAGGCGACTCATTTGTCAGCAGGAAGCTGCTGGAATCGAGGAAAGCGATTGCCGCTTTTGCTGCAAAAGCAAAAGCAAAAGGTTATGGCGCAATTTGCGCATGCGCACGCAAATTACGCGCCATAAATCATGCGACGGAACACAAGGCGACTTTTGTGGCCATATACATAGGTATGGATTTTGTTTTCTGCTTTTTGCTCCTTGGGCTTGGCTTTTTGTGGGAGTTGCCCCAACTGTCACCGTCGCTGATTGCCGGTGGCTGCCGCATTGCGAGATTAGCGTGAAGCGATAAACACATAAACCAAAATAAATTGCAAAGAAAGTGGATGTGGACACACGGCAATGGCAATCCACCACGTTCGATGGTCGCGTGCGTAAGCAATTACATATGGCCGCGGTCCGAGAGGTGGGCCAAAATGGCAAAATGGCAAAGTGGTAAAATGGCAAAATGGCCATGCATCTGCGGTCGGCTTGACATTTGCTATCCTGACCCTGACCCACAAAAAGCACTGCGGTTCGCTTTGGCAAATTGAAAAAGAAAACTCAGCCCGCTTGAGTCATGTCAATCACTCTGGCACTCCATCTCCCCCTCCCCATTCCTCACCCCCCTTAAGCCACCCACTCAGGTGGCATGCAAATCTTCTTCTTTACGCCAGGTATTTCATTTCTTTTGCCGATTTTTGCCTTGCTATTTTGTTTTGGTTTTTGTTTTGCACTTCTTGACGGTCGCGGTCGGCTGCTGTGCCCCCAAGGTTAACGGCGCAAACAAAGCGGGCCAAACAGCCAAACAGGCAAATGGAACCGGCCGAAATGAAATGGAATGAAGCTCGTCATGGACCCCAAAGCCCAAAGCGGCTAGAGATGGCCGACTGACAAGCTCTCCGATTCGGATGGGGATCAATCCAACAAGTTGGGAGCGGAACCGAGTTTATAAAGATCCAATTTCGGTCAAAATCAACTTGGGAGAAGGCATTATAAAGGGTACTAAATTAATCATATATCTTCAAGTTTTAAGTCTAGTCTTAGCTAAGAGTTTCATTCTAACAACATCAAATTAAAGATCTTTTCTATACGGTTTCTTTAAGACCATTGTTGATAAACTATCATAACAACTAAAATCTGACTAAATAAACGGATCAATTATGTCAAAATTCCTACTATATATACTCTTTTTTAAGATTAGAAAGGCTCTAAGAATTTATTTATTTGACTTTAAGTCAAAAATAAATGGTTAAAGTATAATTTATGGCAAGAAATATACTTTTATTAACAAATTTCATTCAATATTCCTTAAAATATTTGCATGCTAAACTTCAAATTTATGTATATACAATTTTTGTTTCGTTCAGTTAATAACCATTACAATTCTGAAAGATGGTTCATTTGCACCAGACATCTATACTTGATTTTAAGATAAAAATCCCCTTTTAAAGATTTTTCAGGGACTCCCCTTTCTCCCCTTGGGTAAATACTCGAAGAACTCTTCAAGCCAGTGCTAAATTTAATTGTCTAAATATATCAATTTCAGTTTGGCATTCACCTACTTTGGCTCCCTTCGACTGACCCAGAACGATCACATTTGGCAGCCACAAGTGCTTTTTGGTGAGCAAAAGAAAAATCACGAGACGAGATCATAACTCTCACGCTCCGATTTCGACCGTCTCTAGGCCCATGGGCACTTCGGCGCTGACTTTGTTCTTTTGGCTGCCAAAGCCAGGCCCAAAACGTCACTCCAAAGAGCCAACACTCAGCCAGTTTGGTGTTGTTCTCAACATGTTTGTAGTTCTTTTGGATTCGGTGAGTAGCCGTCTGAGGAGCAGCGGCATTGGCCTTCTGACAGCCGCCTGGCATGTTCATTTTTATGGGTTTTTTCGAGCTGGAGATGGAGATGGAGATGGAGCTGGAGTATCGGTCGTAGAACAGCTGCATTCTTGGAAGTCAAAAACCGAGACGCGTATTTCCATGGGTTCTAACTGTTGCTGATTGAAGACTCTTAGAGTCTCGTCTGCTGCCGGCTTGTTTCGCAGGGCGTTGCAGAAGTTTCTGATTACAAATTGAATTTTATTAGTTTCCATGCAAGCCGCATTGATTTATGATTTTTCTACAAAAAAAAACCCAACTAGAACTCGGTTTGGTGGGTTGCCTTTAATTAAGACCAAGTGTCAATATGATTTATGCTCCACACACACTCGTCGGTATAATTAAAGATTTGAAATCATCTCAGCATATGGCTTTCCCTTCGGCCAAACACAATTTAAGTAATTTGTGGCTTTCGAGAGAGGTGGACATTGCGTGCGATTGCATTACGAGTGAAATTTACCAACTTTTACAAAAGATCTTGGGATATTGATAACCTTTTTGCCTAGGTTTTGGGTTGCTGCCGCCTCCGACTTGGTTTGCTCCTTGTGCCGCCGCTGACATCATCAAATCCGAATCCCAGTCGCGCTCCAAGTCCAAGATGGCAATTTCATTCGATGGCATCCATTTGGGTTGGTTTTGATTACATAAATTTGGCGCCGTCTGCGATCGCGAGGCAATACGATGCGATGCGGTTCCATTTGCATCTTCAAAGTCCGAGTGGAGTGGAGCAAATGTGGGTCAGAGCTCTTCGACTTGGGTGCGGCTCTTTGGCTCTGGACATCGCCATATGTAATTACAATAACTGCAACTTCCAATGCAACAACTTCCAACGGCATCAAAGCAAACAACACGATCTCAAAGTAAAATGTCTCGAAACCTGTCGCTTTTAATTAAAGGCCCCGCAAACTCCGACTCTAAGTAACTTTTCATGTTCCGAGTTATGCGCACAATTTTAAGCGACAGCCCCCACAAAGGCATTCAACATAAAAATAACTTTTGCATTTAGTCATAACTGCATTTAAAACCTTATTGTTGCGGGTAAATATTGTAAATGTTTTCGCTTTTCGTATGCAAAAAGAGGGGGATAAATCATGGGGGTGGGGAAATCTCGGATTTTTGGGCTTGGATTCGGGCTCAGGTCCGACCCACTTCTGTCATGTTGCACGATAAATACTTTGAGATTTATTGTCTGCCGCGGTGGCAGGCATAATTACAATTTATGCCCAAGGTGGTCCCCGAAAGCACCCGCCAAGTCCCGCCTTCTGCAATAGACTCCATCCGAGCAGCAGCTCCTCGCCGAGCTGCCAGCTCCATCTCAATCCCAACCCCAATCCCATTCCCAATCTCCTCCAAGTTCAAAAGCGTGTTTGAGGAAGCTGTCGCCAAAGACAAAGACCCATACAAATTGCCAAGGAAGCCGCGTGGCCGTCCCTCTGACAGCCCGTATTTTGTTTACCTGTCCCACAATTGCCATTATTCTTGGCTGGATTGAAAGTGTTACCACACAGTGCTGGGAATATGAAAGCTTAAACAGAAGATCGAAGATCTCATACCCTTAGGGATGGTTGAGTAACTTATGATTGGTGAATAAAATAAGTTTTCTAAATTAAAATCGTGTATATACGCTCTGCCACAAACAAGTAATTTTGAACCTGGTGCAAATGCAAACAAACTATTTCTGAAACTATTATAATATATATATTATTTTATCCTTTTTTAAATTTTAAATATATTCGTATTGATTAATCAAGCTCGGAAATGTCAATATTCTTCAACAATTTTTAAAGCGGAATTATAAACCCATTAAAATAGACTTCTTTGTTTTAAAAATATTTATTTTAGCATATAAAAGTCGTACAAAAATATTTGTATAAATTGCGCATCAAATAGTTTACACTACATAGTAAATAGTTGTAAATAGTTTACACAATAGTAGGCAGACATCAGAAATGAGTATAATGATGCCACAGCGAGGTGAGTTTGCCACGTTTCAGGTTTTTCTGGGGACTCGATTGCGGACGCACGTTTTTCAGAGTGCAACCTACAGGCAGATCGACCTACAAAATCAGAATAGAGGAATGGATGACATCTAGAAAAATTGGAGGAAAGTGAGACTTACGGATTGATCGGCAGTCACCCGGACGGGCTCCTTGTCCGGACAAATGACATAGGTACCGGGATCATCCAAGCGGCGAAGTTGGGCGGGCGCAGAACTGAATTCAGAATCGAAATCGATATTCGGCTGGATTGGTGGAGGAGTGGGCTTAGCAGCTATAAAGAAAATATATATTAAATAATAGTTTCAAGATCTATTAATTAAGGATTTTTTTTGTGGGCTTAAAAATATTAGAATACTAAAATTATTAAAAATGTATCTAGGTTGTTTCTTAAAGCTCAAGCATAATTTCAAATAAAACAAGAAGAAACTAACCAGAGAAACCCTCAGAATACCGTAAATTATATTCTCTAAAATTATTTATATGATGCATTCTTAATACTCATAAAAAATCCCAACTTCCTAACTTTAAAAACACCAAAGTTAAGCCATTTGCTATCGTTCAGTTAGGATATAGTCGGCCGATCCTTTTGAAATTTGGTAGGTCGGATTTATTGGCCAAATATAAAACCCATAGAAAATCCCAACATCCTAACTTAACAAACACCAAAGTTATGGCATTTCCGATCAATCAGTTATATGGCGGCTATAGGATATAGTCGGCTGATCCTTATGAAATTAGATAGGTCGGATTGATTGGCCAAATATAACACCCATAGAAACTCCCAACTTCCTAACTTTACAAACACCAAATTTATGGCATTTCCGATCAATCAGTTATATGGCAGCTATAGGATATAGTCGGCCGATCCTTATGAAATTTGGTAGGTCGGATTGATTGGCCAAATATAATACCCATAGATAGTCCCAACTTCCTAACTTAACAAACAGCAGAGTTATGGCATTTCCGATCAATCAGTTATATGGCAGCTATAGGATATAGTCGGCCGATCCCGGCCGTTCCGACTTATATACTGCGTGCAAAGGAAAGAAGGGTGTGTCAAAGTTTCAATTCGATATCTTTAAAACTGAGAGACTAGTTCGCGAGAAACAGACAGACGGACAGACAGACGGACAGACAGACGGACAGACAGACGGACAGACAGACGGACAACGGACAGACGGACAGACGGACATGGCTATATCAACTCAGGAGGTGATCCTGATCAAGAATATATATACTTTATAGGGTCGGAGATGTCTCCTTCACTGCGTTGCACACTTTTGACCAAAATTATAATACCCTCTGCAAGGGTATAATGAAGTTCAAAATATAAAAGGCATTAGCCATTTAATTTATTTTTATACCACATTCTTTAATATTTTTTCAGATATTATAACAAAAATGTTTTAAATTTTATTTACTTACACTTGACTCGAATGAAGAATGTGCACCTTAGAGTTCTTTCATCGGTTGTGGTGGCCTCGTATTTGATTGTGTGATCTCCCTCCGTAAACAAGGCACCAGGAAACTGAAAAGAGTGCACACAAATTATAGGTTTCTTAGGGGTCTTCGATTTCAATCCTTGCTTACATGTGACTTGTAGATCTTAAGCAGTTTTCCCTCGAATCGCGGCTCTTCCCAGGTAACTGATCGCAGGCCCTGGTGCTCCTTCAGATAGACTTCAATAGAAGGTGGACAATAGTTCTCGAAGTCGGACCCCAAGTCTACTCGGGTGCTTTCAGTACGCGCAGGAGAAGAACTAATTATCTTAGCGGATTTTTGGGAAAAGGGTTCTAGTTTGGAGTATAATGAAGACTGATCTGAGGAACTTTGAACCGGAAATTGGGGCTGTGGAATTGAACTGTGGGTGGAAAATGTGGGAAATGGATTTGACTTGGGAGCCGTGTCGGGAAACAAAGGTTTTAGTCCAGAGTAAGATACTGACTGGGAATCTGTGGAACTATGACTTGGAAATTCTGACCTCGAAATGTGATTGGAAAATGTGGGAAAGGAATCTGGCTTGGTAGCCGTGTTTGGGAACAAAGGTTCTAGTCCGGAGTAAGTTGATGACTGAGAATCTGTGGTACTAAGACTTGAGGGGAATGCAGCTGAACTGCTTGTGGATAAGGTGCCGAATGGAGCCGGTCTGGGAAGTGATGATCTTGGTCTCGAGGGGTAGCTGAAGGGATTTGATTCTTCAGATTGTGCCGCCTTAACAGTGATGATTGTGTGACATTCAATTGTTAGCTTTCTCTCCGGATCGTTTACTCTGAAGTCGACCTTATGGACTCCGGCTGGGAGATGACCTTGGAGCTGACCCGCCCAAGCGGGATAGGCAACCAAATGGCCTTTTCGTAGATTCGTTTCGGGTCTCTGCAGAGTAACGTGAGTCTTTTGCTCGCCAGGATGCAGTAAAATCACCACATTTTCTGGACACTTAATAAAGGGCTTGAATCCCTGAACTTCCTGGGTTTGAAGGGTTGTCGCTAGTTGTGGAGAATTCCATTGCCCCCAGTTGAACTGGTGGCCAAACAAACTGTTATCGAAGGGTTTGCAGTTGAGCTCGGTTCCAAAGGACCAGCCCTGCAAAACCATGCAGGAGGTCAACAAAGATCCAGTGGGCACAAAACCGACATTGCATTGAACTTGGCAGACGTCTCCAAATCTGGAAGGACCTTGGGTGCAGCTGGGTGGAAAGATAACTCCATTTTGAGCGGGTTTCAGAGCAGGACAGATTCCTGGACCGCCCAAGCGAGGTTGGTTAAGAGCTGTGAATAAATATAGAAAAGGTAAAACAGAATAAAAGGAAATCGTATTATTAAATTTATTACTCACCCACGCACTTGGTCTCCGGACCCTCCCAAATTCCAGTTGCGCCACAGCTCTTGATTTCCGGACCCTGTAGGACATATCCCGGATTGCAGGTAATGCGGCAGCGACTGTTGTAGAACCGGTGCTCCTTATGGCGATACCTATTGCAATGGGACTTGCCATTGCGCGGTGCTTGGAATCGAGGACAGCGATCTCTGGGTTGAAGTGGGTTGCCAAAAGGATTTTTGGGGAAATCAGGAAGCTTAGGAAGAGGTGACGGCGTTGTGGTTGTGCTTGTGGTTGTGGGTAGCTCTCCAAGAGGCGGGAGACTTGGGAGATCTGGTGGATATCTTGGCAACGAGGGGAATTCTCTCTTTGGAAACTCGGGGAAGTCAGGATTTTTTGGACTTTTGGGAATATCATTTGACAATTCGGTGAAGTCAGGATACTTGGGTTTCTTGGAGTCCGGCTTCGGCAGTTCAGGCAGCGCTGAAAGCGAAGGAACCACCGGCAAGTCGGGGAATTTGGGGAACTCGCAACGGAAGCCTCCAATCTCGTTTACACATTTTCCGGAGATGCAACTTGTCTTGTCCTGAGCGCACTCGTCTATGTCCTGGCAAGTCCTTTGATCACTGTTCAATTTATAGCCCGGTGGGCAACTGCACTTGAAAGAACCCTCGCTATTCGAACAGCGATGTGAGCAGCCTCCGTTCTTCTCCAGGCATTCGTCGACGTCCACGCACTTGTCATCCGATCCCAGGGTGAATCCCCGACCACAGTCAATCGGAACACAGCCCTCGGAGGTCCGCTGTGCACCAGGTGGACATCCCACCAGAACGGGACGACAACTGCGATCGTCCTCGGTGAGGACATAGCCCAAGGGGCAGCCGCACTCAAAGGTGCCCGCCTTGTTGATGCACTCGTGGGAGCAGCCGCCGGAAAGGAGTCCCGCACACTCGTCCACATCCTGGCAGGACTTCTTGTCCGCGGTCAACTCGTAGCCCCTTTCGCAGGCGCAGGCGTGGGTACCTAGAAGATTGATGCAGATGTCGCTACAGTTTCCATAATTCCGAGAGCACTCATCGATATCGGAGCAACCAAAGCCATCGGGAGAGAGTTCGAAACCCGTTTCGCAGGCACAGGCAAAGCCCCCCGGTTGATTCAAGCAGAGCTGCGAGCACTGGCCATTATTATCGGCACACTCATCGATGTCCTGGCAGGTGTGCATATCCTCCGACAGGGCATGACCGAAGGGACAGGAGCACCGAAAGCCACCCGGCTCGTTTTGGCAAAAGTGAGAGCAGTTCCCATTGGCCAGAGAGCACTCGTCGATGTCCAAGCATGCGGATGAGGACGGAGGTGCGAATGAGGTTGAGTCATGAGATAGTGAGGTGTTTAGTGATGTGGCAATGTGGTTATCCAATCCCAGGGCATAGCCTGGTGGGCAGAGGCAGGTGTACGAACCATTGAGGTTCTCGCAAAGCATTTGATCGCTGCACCCGTGAGTTCCCCGCGAGCACTCGTCGATGTCGAAGCAATAGCCACGGAGGCCATCCAGCTTGAGGAGTTCAAAGCCCGCGGCACACAGACACCCATACGAACCTGGCAGATTGCGGCACACCTGCTGGCAGCCGCCGTTCCTCACCAGGCACTCGTCCACATCCTGGCAGCTCTTGCCGTTGGGACTCAGGTGGTAGCCGTCGCGACAGGAGCAGGCACCTCCTCTGGCCGTCAGGCAGATCTGCTCGCAACCATTGTTGTTCACCTCGCAGCGGTCCTCGGCCACACAGGTGTACTCCTCAACCAGACTTAGTCCTTCGGGACACACACACTGATAGCCACCCGGGGTATTCTGGCAGCTGTGACTGCACAGGTGAGAGCCATCCGCGCACTCGTCAATGTCCTGGCAACCGAACTCATCACTGCGGTAGCCCGTTGGACAAATGCAACCTAAGCTGCAATCATCCTCACTGGGAGAACAGGTTCCCGGCGAGCAGTTCTTTATTTCCTTCTCATTGGAGACAACAGATTCGTCCACCAGACAGGAATGCCCATCCTCTGAGAGTTTGTAGCCGTTGGGACACGTGCATCGGTAACTTCCTTCGGGAAGATCCTCGCACGCGTGGGCACATCGAGTTCGATTTAATTCCGGCTTTTGCAGATCCGCACAGCCATCCAAGGCACAGCTCCACTGATCCTCGAGCAGATGATAGCCCTCCAGGCAGGAGCAACGGAAGGAGCCGATCGTATTCTCACAGTTTTGTTGACAGTAGGAATCCTTCTCCTCACACTCATTTATGTCCAGACAGTCGCTGCCATCGGCGGCGAGCTTAAAGCCTGGATTGCATGATTTATGTACTGGAATATCGGTGACCTCCGGTGTGGATTCCTCCGAAGCGGTGGGAGACTTTACTTCCACTTCCAAAAGTACCTCACAACGATAGGAACCAGGCAGATTTGTGCAGCCACCTTGACAGTCCGGTGACAGCTCGCTATTGGCACATTCATCGATATCTATAATATAAAACATTAAATAAATATTTCCTTTGACATTTTCCTAATGAATTAGTAAAATTAAATAGAATTAAGGAAAGTAATAAATGGTAATAATTAAAAAGAAGCGATATTCTTTACAAAAGCGTGTATATAGAAATGAGAAAAATATAAAAGCTTTTTTCGGATTCCGACAAATAAATTTTAAAATCTATAACAAAAGATGCATCCTATTTTGTGATATCAAGGAATTAAGCTATCTTTATATTAATCATCTGCTACTAAAACACGATATATTTTATATGATATTTTTATTCCCTCTACAGGAAACAAAAGTCATTTAACATCCCTTAATTTGAATTTAATTTAAAGTTCATTTGTTGTTAGTTGGTAAATCTGTTACACACTATGGTGATATACAGTAAAACACAGTGCTTAAATACATATATTTCATTACATACCCACACAAGTTTTTCCATCAGAAATATCTATTTTGTAACCAGTTTGACAAGCGCATTTATATTCTCCTGGCATGTTTTCGCAAATTTCCGTGCAACCGCCATTCGACTCCAGGCATTCGTCAATATCTGTAAAGGGGTCACATTGTTAGCTATTCTTCCAATATACTATACCTTAAGCCCACCTAGACAGCTGGTATAATCGTTGAGGTCAAGGGTGTAGCCCTTTTGACAGTTGCATTTTTGAACGGGTTCGTTTTCATCTGGATAGAGCAATCTCATGCATATGTGCTCACAACCGCCATTATCCTGCCCACAATTGTTATCCAACAAGGTCGGCTCATAAATATCCTTTTTTGCTGCAACAAACGTGTTGTTGGAGCTAATATTTTCGGTTGAGACATTCTGGGGAAGTTCGTTTTTGGGAGTCGTAGGAACGGGTTCCTTCGTAAGTTCTACAAAAGTTGGTTTTTCGGATTCCATGAAACTTTGGAAATCTGGTTCCTGGATTGTGCTTCCACCCGCTTCAGATTGATTTGCTTCGTTTTCATTAATATGAATAACGATTTCTGGTTCTGGCTTGGATTCGGCTCTTACTGAAGGCACAACAACATTTTCCGTTACCGGCGGTGGTGGTGGTCTTGGTGGTTCGACATCACCTATCTCATTTTCATCATCATCATCTTCCTCGTTATCGTAATTAGGCACCGTATCGTACTCCTCAAACTCATCCTCCTGTTCCAAAAAATCCCGCTGGGGTAAGCAGGTGGGTAAATCACCCAACCAGCTCTCATTTGAGCAGAACATGGCATTGTTTGTATTTTCGAAGCCGTATTCTTCGTCACAGGCGTAAAAGGCGACTAGGAATACCTTTTTGCCCCTCCGACGACGATCGATTAGGGCCACTTTTCCATGGCTAATCACCGGCGGCGAGATCTGGGCCGACGAGCAGCTCATGTCCAAAGTGCGGGCCAATTCCAGCGGCACACTGGGATCTTCAGGAACATCCATTTTACTTTTCCTTTTGCGTTCGGAGTTTGATGAAGCTGTTGAGGAATCAGATACATACAAATTTTATTTAAAAAAGTTTAGAAAAAGAAAGCCCTGAAGATGTATCAGCATTTTTTGTTAAGAAAGCATATAATTCTAAATATTACTTTTCTAATAAAACGTGATCTTAAAAAGGAACCAATTCCTAATACCTTTAAAAGACTTTACATACAAATTTCATTTAAAAAAGGTTTAAAAAAGAAATCCCTGAAGATGTATCAGCATTTTTTGTTTAGAAAGCGTATAATTCTAAATATTACTTTTCTAATAAAACGTGATCTTAAAAAGGAACCAATTCCTAATACCTTTAAAAGATTTTACATACAAATGTTATTTAAAAAAGTTTAGAAAAAGAAATCCTTGAAGATGTATCAGCATTTTTTGTTAAGAAAGCATATAATTCTAAATATTACTTTTCTAATAAAACCTGATCTTATAATACCTTTAAAAGACTTTCCTTGTCATCTATCGGGCTCGCTATCACGACATTATACGACATACATAATAAATAAAATTTATTTGTCTATTAATTCTTGTAACAGCTGTTCTCACTCAAACAGATATAAAAAAGACCATCAAACTGATTCGTAAGACTCGGCTACTTCAGGGAAAACACATATAAACTGGGTGAATCAATCAGTTGAATGATTGCCAAAAGATGTTTCATGGTCATGTAGACTTAAATTTCTTTTTTTATTTGTGGGATTTTCTTTGGTTTTATTTACGATCAGTTTATATGCTTTCATTTTCTCAAAAGCCGGCCGGTAATTTGGTGAGTAATATTTTGTTTGGGGAATAGGTGCCCCGTGTTAGCCACGACTACTGTATATCACAATATTTATTCGGAAAAACGTGTCACAAAATTATACACACATACATATATGCTCCATTAGCTATTAAGACAAACCGTTTTTATGGCCATTTTGTGGACATTTTTATCGTCAAAAAGAAAATATTGTAATAAAAATTTGAAGATAAATTTGAACGATAAATTTAAATATTGAAATAAATTTATAAATACATTCAAAATGACTCACTTAATTTGTTTAATGTTTGCTTAATATTTGACATATAAAATTAATGTCAAATTAAAGTTAAATTTAGCCAATTTTTAAGTATTTTATACCTTTTTTAACAAATCAAGAAAAATATTATAAAAAAAGGATTTAATAATTATAGATAAGCTGCATAATTCTATATGATACATTTTATAGCCATCCGATAAATCCATTCCTTATTGTAGAAAAAAACTAGCTCAAGACACACAGTCGAAAAGCAAGCTATTATAATCGTTTATAATCCCAAAATTCCTTCCAAATTATCCAATAAATTTCCGTTTCCATGACATATTTTATAGATACGCCCACACTTACCTGTAGCAAATGCAACGCATGTCAGCGCGCATAAAACATATTTCGCCGCCCACATTCTGCAGCCCTATACACGATCCTTATAGAACAGCTTCTTTACACCTTTCCACTCTCACTTCTGATGACTTCTTGGGTTAGGATTTTATAAAATAGAAGACATTAAATAAATTTCACGTCAGTCGTTTCTTTTTTTATTTTTTCCAATATATTTATGGGACAAGAGATATATATGTAGAGACATATAGAGGAGCAAAGCCATTAAGATTAAGGCGGCTTTATAAATAGCACATGTTCAACACTTTTTACATACGAGTATATTCATATGTATTTCATGGAATTAAAAGGACAGTTTTACAGCAAACCAAAGCACTTCTAATAACAAGAGTTCAAGTAGTATTAAAAAGATTAAGTAAATTTAAAAAAATAAGTGGTTAACTTTATATATATTTCCGTAGTTTTAAGGAACACAAAATTTAGATTATTTTTATTTTTCTAGAGAACGCACCGTTTCCGTCGAGAGCCAAGGAAAGACTGAGGAGCCGAAGAAAATCAGACTTTTCTCGAAGGGAACACAGATATATTCCGGGTCTCCAAAAATATATATAAGTTTATGGGTATATATGATGATATTTCATTGATATCATAAAGCAAATTAGTGCGAGAGCGCACAAATGTCACCAGAGAGGGATGTAAAGAGGGAAGCTATTTTTACCGGTGGTATTATCATTAGCATTGAGCTGCGAGAATTAATGAGGTTCCGTCATCCATTGAACTTGATCGCATTGATCCTTCAGCAGCTGTCAAATGTGGTAGAATTTAAAATTAATAATATTAGCTGACATGCCTTTGCATAAATAAAACGCGTAGTTTATGGGCAGTCTCTGAAAAATTGTTAAGTTTTGGATTAAATGAATTTGAATACGATGTTAAAACATGTCACTGGTAGGAAGGCCTATAAAGTATATAAATGTATAAACTTTTTTTGAGACTACACAGGTTTCTGCCCGTATTTACCTGTACCAAAATGCAAATGCACATAAAACATTATTCATCGCCCACATTTTACAGCCCTTTGCTCTATTCTAGTAAAACATCTTTATCACATTTCTTATTTTCACTTTGACTTCTCTGGGTTCACATTTTATATGTAAGACATATTAATAAACTTTTACGATATTCGTGTATTTCTATTTTTTCTAACATATTTATGGGACATGAGCCATGTTAGGAGAGGCAAAGACATAAGGATTAGGCCAACTTAACAAATAGCACATGTTCAACAGTTTCATAAATTGAAACATTCTATAGCTTTAGTTTAAAATTTTAAAAATATTAAAGTTAACACGTTTTTGAGCCATCCAAGTTTTGGAAAACCATTTCTGCTGAGGGCCTATCAGATTCCGATTTGTCAATGAATTTTTTGGCTATATGTGCTGATACTGTTTTGGTGTTCATTCCTTTATAAATAATATTATCGATAGCGATTAAAGTTTTTTGCCTTGATAAAAATAAACGGAAATTAAAGGACAAGCAATCCTGAATCTATTGCTCCCCAGACAAATCTTAAAACTTAATTGCCTCTCTCCAAATGTTGGAAAAATTACTTTGAAGAAAAGTGTCCAAGAACTGCACTTAACTTTTATTACAGAAATCCGATTTAAAAGTAACATACTTTTAAATTATTGTGGTTTTCGGCTTTGATTTTTTTGTTCTAAATACGTATTAAAGCAATCAATATGGAATCTGGAATTTGGAGATCATCAGCAACCTAATTACCCAGTTGAAATCGGGGTACTTGCCGAGATTTCGAGAGGCGAAACTTTCGCATAGGGGAGGCCATTACGTCACGAGAGTGGTCGACTGGGTCCCGAGCACTTTTGGTCTATTGTTGAGCACATAATTAAGCACCGCTTAGCTTATGTAATTAATGTCAGGCCAAATGGCAGCGCCAAGAGCCGGAGTGGAGAGTCTAATGAACCAGCTGCGTGTGCTGATTTATATGCGACTTTTGGAGCTGGTTTGTTTGTACTTGTTTCAGTTGTCTGTCCGTTTGTTTGGCCCGGCCAAATTGTGTTTTGTCGCCGTCACCATCTTGGCGACGTCTCTCGATCGCGCACTTAAGCTTCGTTTATGCGCAGGCTCTGAGCGATACTCCAGTTTTGGGGTCTCGGAGTTTTGGGCTCTCGGAGCATGTGACATAAGTCGCCGGGTGTACGGCCATGATATATGAATATGACAAAGCGACATGGACAACTTTATTGGCTCATGAAAAGCGCTGTCACTGCTTGACTGACATAAATCACCGAACGGCAGAAATAGGCATTCAGCGCCCCAAGAGCCAATCGATTGCAGAAAAAAAGGCCAAAGACTGAGCTCTCTAAAATAAATCAAAAATCATTTTTCGCGAAGGGCCCTCGACGATCATCTCTGGACAGTTGCAAGTGGTGTGGGTCTTAGTCAAATGTAGCCCAATCTGCATTTGCATACGACAGAATATGCCGAATCGATATCATACCTCTTATCTGATTGGGACTGTCAACCCAGCCGGATATTTCGCTTCATTCATGGGCACGGGCAAAAACCCATATGGAAATTAGAGCAACAATTGAACATCGTGCGGCGTTCTAAAAATAATAACCGAGTGGAGCTTTTATTGACCAACAGACGAACACACAAACCCACGTCAAGTGTGGAATCGAAGGCACGCCACCTATCGGACAAACAAAGCGTATCTGGACACGCTACTCCACACACACACACACACACGCACACCTACAAGCACCTATATGAAGCCTTGTTTTCACTTTCCCTTATTTTGTTTTCATTTTTTACCAGGTACTTATAGGTTACGAGGGTATACCTGTCTTCAACAACTTCTCAAGATCATTATTCAAAAGAACTTAAAAATGGTAAAAAAAAACCTTTAAAAAAAACCTAAACACACTTTAACAAATATTGAAAAAAGATATAAAAGTATTGGTAATTTAAAGTTCTATGAATTGCATTATTTTTCTCCTCTTAATTTACTGGATAGTCTAGTTAGGTTCGTCCGTAATTTAAAAGAGAGTGCAATATCAAACGTATTGTCTGTTAAATTGTGTTGAATATTTATTAGATCTTTTTATGAAATAATAAATTTAATGGTTCTGATAGTTAAAATATAAATTTGTAGTTTGTTTTTTATAAGATCTTCCTCTGCAATATTATATCAAAAATTGTATATTCTAACAAGAAAGAATAATGAATATCTTTTAGCCATAATATTTATTTTATAAAGCTTTCAGGATATTTTAAGTGGAGGTAAAATGGAGTTTTACAGAAGAACAAATTGAAGATTAAAAAAAATTACAAATTTCGGGTTTGATTTTCAAAATAGGTAATCAAAATACAAGCAACTGGTCAAACGTTTTTTGTGCTATGCTAAAACACATGATTTGTATTACTTATAAACATTTTACAAATTGGATCCTTAAACCCTTAAAATTAACAACATTTCATAAAAACTTTATTATTATTTATATTTAAAAATGCATATTTTAATACGCCTTGGTACCAGGTATGCCCCGGTCCAAGTCCTTTCTTGTGCACACATCACCTTATTTTTGGTGCAGACCTAGAACCCTTTTAGCGCTGGCCTACAACTACTTACTATAACTACGGTAAGTGTGCGCCCAACGCGCATGACCTCAACAATTTGAATTCACTTGAAGTGCGAACGCACATGCAAACTGTGGAGCTCGGAGTGGTCTAGGTCTTGTCCAGTTCAGAACAGAGCAGAACAGTCCGGTCCTGTTGCGTGCCCAGCAAATGGTAATGGTAGGGATCTGGAAAAGGGGAATGTCGGAGGTGGTCGAGTGCCGAACTGACCCTTCACTTTACAAGCGAATGTTTTGGGTCAGTGCTCAGTTGCGTTGAGTTCGTGACCAAAGGCGGGCGTATTTCTTATTCCAAATTCATATTCATATTCGTTATTAATAAATCCTCGACGGCTGTGAGCAATCCACATCGATTCCCGCTCCGATTCGGCATGATTCGGCGATTGTCTGGCGAGTATTGAGAAGAAGTCATGGGCTGTGCCAGCAGCACTCCCATGGTTGCAACGGCGGGCAGCGAAATGCTGAAAGCCGCCAGCCATGTCAAACAGAAGGGCGAGGCCGCCGTCGAAGGTGTGTAAGTGTGTGTGTGTGTGTGTGTGTTGCCAGTCCGAGTTGGCCATTAGTTGGTTTTGGACAGCAGATGACATTTAAGAGTGTGCAGTCGAAGGGAAATTCCAAACTGCCAGCGAACGTACACTCAGTATATGGGGCGTATACTTAATATTCAGTATAAAACAGTCCTAGATTTATCTAAGCACAGCGAGTTCTCTTTGTTGACAGATGACATTTAAGATTGTGCAATATAGGGGAAAATCCAATTCTTTAGAGTATTAGTGATAATCCTTTATTTGAAGAACTTATACTAACTTTTTAGAGAAACGAATTCCTTGACCTGAGAACTTAATACGATGACCAATTAGTTAATTGCAATCAAAAACGTACATGTCTTTTAATTTTTTGACAAATGACCCCTAAGATTAACTCAATAAAACTTAATGTGAAGTCCTTGACCCCTTGCCCAAATCAATATTAAATCCAGTTAACTTACAGCCGCCACCAACAAGTAAATTTCCACTTAGTGCCAAAAAGAAATTCGATACATCCAGGCACAATGTAGGTAATAAATGTGCTCGCATTTCGCATTATTATAATAACAAGCCACGTAATAAAGGACAATTGGCCAGCGCAATGCGTGCCGCCGAGCCTTTCGGCCTGATTTTTCGCCTTTTATGCCGCAGTGTGTCGCAAGTGAAAGCTTGTTTCAATTGCCATCACCCAACCATATTTTTATACATTTATTTAACGCATATGAAGAAAAACGACTGGGTTGCGTGACCGAGCCACCAACGAATTAGAGCAAAACATTGACTTAAAAATATTATACATACGCGTGCACTGAGGAAAAGTAGCATTATTAAGTCAGGATTCAGCTGACTCAGGGATTTAACATTTATAGGGCCTTTAAATCTTTTAGTTTTGATTATTAAGATACACTAAAATGTTTATTAAAGAATATGGTTTACTACTCCACTCTTGGTTTTTAAAATGAAATGTATAGTTGCCATAATACATAAAATTGCTAATCTTGTATGAAATCAGTCAATTTATTAATCTTATGTTTTGACATTAAATTAAATCGCTTTTTAGAAAACATTTATTTTCTTAATATAATATTAAGTAACAGTTTATTGACTGGAAACTCTTAATTAGGTCCTAATTCCTAGCTTAAATTTGTCGGTCGGTCTGAATTTTCAATTGTTTGTTCGAAAAGTTTACATCACATTAAATAAGACGATTTGTGTTGCACAACAATTTGACTTCATCTTTACTTTCTCCGACATAAACTCTCATACTATAACCTTAATTCAGCTTATTTAGAACTAAGAATTAAGAAAGGTTTAATAATAGAATTTAGTTTTGACACATTTTAAAGCTTACAAATTTCTTGAAGAAATGTACAAAAAGCAGCGTAGTTGTTCCAACCACGGGAGCTAAGTCCCAATTCCGTGTTGCTGAATTTTTGGTAGGTCTGTGTTTCTCGGACTGAGGTATTGCCCTGGAGGGTGGATATTTTTCAATGGCCTTCTTGCCAAAGGCTCGTATACCCGTCCACGATTCATCAGCTAGGCGGCGAATCTCCGAGGTTGGTGGAAAAAACCTGTAATCCACGTGATTATGGTCCATTCCCGACATCTCGAAGGTAAACGATAAGGGAAATCCCATGTAAAAGGCGTAATCGATGCTCGTACCGCCAAATTCTCCGCCAACTTGAGTACCCGGCAATTTTTTTATAACCGTGCCAGTACTTTGAAATATTTGATCGGCCACGAACTTGGCAATTTCTATGTGTTCCTCTTGATTTTGCACCGGTGTACTGAAAAAAGCGAAAGTTAATAGGTATTCCTTTGTTCAAACAGTTTTTAGGCGGAAACCTCTTCCAACTTTGAAGCGAACATCAAAACAATTTGCAACTAAATTTATTTTGAAAAGCTTTTGGTCACACCACTGATTATAATAGAGCTCTTATCTGTGGTATGCTGACCTGCGAGTTCCTTATACTAATCAATCGATTAAATATTATTTAAGATTTAATCTTCACATTTCGAAGAAAATAAGAAGTTTAAATTTTAAATAATTAAGGAATTTATACCCTGCAATATTATGGCCGTAGCACTTAATAATTTCCACTCACCTGTCATAGACCCAAGGATAGATAACTGAACGGAGGGACGTGTGCAGGGAAAGATACATGACGCCTCGCTGTGTTTTCATAAGGGTGTGCATTATGTCGCGCACTGTACGTGCCTCCACCTCGGAGAATGGTGCACTGCCCGCATAATTTTCATCGCAAGGATCTTTTAGCTCCGGAAAACCGATTCCCCAGCCCAGTTCAAAGTTCCTGTTGAGATTGGTGCCCATGCAGTCGCCGACATTCGGTGTCCTCGTGTTCCTCCACCGAGCATTAGTTTTGCGAGAGTACTCGTAACCATCCGGATTCGCCAGTGGCATAATGTGCCAATCGAAATCGGCCAGAAGATCGGCATTTTCCTTGAACTCAACTACCAACTTATAGATGGTATAGAGGGCGGCCACGGGGGTCATCCATTCGCGGGCGTGCAGAGCGGCATCCATGAATATCACCCTCTTTCCCAGACGCCCATCTCCGTTTGATATCATGGCGAGTTTCAGGGCACGATTCTGATACGTTCTACCCACGTCCTTTAGTGTGATCCGATCGGGGTATGTTCGTGCCAGCTGATCTAGGTACAGCATCACCCCGTCGTAGTCGAGGTAGTCATCCAGTTGAAGAGTGTCAGAACTGCGCAGGCGGAGGCGTCTCGTCTCCGCCAGCGGATTTACGATCGCCACGAGAAAGACGATCGCGGACAGAGGTCTCCACATCTTGCCGGTGAGACAATAGACAGGGCACTGACTTTGTCCGACTACATCGCGATTATGTATAGAGATTTGGGAAAGAGCTAAGAAATTTATTTCTCTCTATAAAAAATTGAATGCTAGAAAAAAACCCATCTCTCTACAATAAAAATAGATAAGGCAATAGCGCTAAAATTCTATTTTCCATTTCCAAAAAAAACACAACATTTCGTATTAAAACAGTGTTTTATTGTATTTATCATCATTATCATCATGAGCAATTTAAGCGTAATTTTTTAAAAACAACTCCGCTCGCGTGTTAACGGATAGAAAATGTGTTCTACAACACGTATAAAAAAATACTATTTTTCCAGAAGTTTAACGGAGAGCAGCCCTCCATATTAGTAGTATCTTCTAGTATACGTGCCGATCGGACGTCTATATCCTATAGCTCCCACAGGAACAATCTGATATATCTTGCAAGAATTGATGATATTTCGCGCAGTGTAATAGCTATTGACATGAGTCTTTCCAAATCGTATTTTTTTATGCATACCTTGATCAGGGTAAAAGCGCGTGCTGATCGTTAGCTTCCGATCTCGTTTTTTATTAAACTTGAAAAAAATGTGACGAAAAGAAAACTTTACGAGTCTATAAACTTAATATGTTTTCACTTAGCGTCGATTTATTAATTAAATTAAATCTCTTTTTAGAAGACATTTATTTTCCAAATATCATGTAACAGTTTACTGACTGAAAACTCTTAATTAGGTCCTAATTCCTATATTAAATTTGTTGGTCGGTCAGTCTGAATTTGTTGTTCAAAAAGTTAATATCAAATTGAGAAAGCCGATTTGTGTGGCACAACAATTTGACTTCATATTTACTTTCTCCGACAAATTTCAAACTATAACCATAATTCAGCTTATTGAGAACTAAGAATTAAGAAAGATTTAAGAATAGTATTTAGTTTTGTCACATTTTAAAGTTTAAAATATTTTTGGTGAAATGTGCAAAAAGCAGCGTAGTTGTTTAAACCACTGGATCTAAGCCCCAAGTCCGTGTTGCTGAATTTTCGGTAGTTCTGTGTTCCTGGGACTGATGTATTGCCCTGGAGGGCGGATATTTTTCAATGGCCTTCTTGCCAAAGGCTCGAATACCCGTCCACGATTCATCAGCTAGGCGGCGAATCTCCGAGGTTGGTGGAAAAAACCCGTGATCCACGTGATTATGGTCCAATCCTGACAACTCGAAGGCAAACGATAAGGGAAATCCCACGTAAAAGGCATAATCGATGCTAGTACCGCCGAATTCTTCGCCATATTGCCATGTCCGTATAACCGTGCTAGAACTTTGAAATATTTGATCGGCCACGAATTTGGCGATTTCAACGTGTTCCCCTTCATTTAACAACGGTTTACTGAAAAAGACAAAAGTTAATAGGTATTCCTTTCTTAAATGAGAACAGTTTTTAGTCGGTAATCTCTTCCAACTTTGAAGCGAACATCAAAACAATTTGCAACCGAATTTATTTCGAAAAGATTTTCGTCACACCACTGATTATAATAGAGCTCTTATCTGTGGTATGCTGACCTGCGAGTTCCCTTATACTAATCAGTTGATTAAACATTATTTAAGATTTCACCTTCATAATCTTAATTTACGAGAGAAGCTTACATTTTAAATAATAAATCAATCTATACCATGCAATATTATGGCCTTAACACTTAATAATTTCAACTCACCTGTCATAGATCCAAGGATAGAAAACCATCCGGATGGACGAGTGCAGGGAAAGATACATGACGCCTCGCTCACTTTGCATCAGGCTGTGCATTATGTCCCGCACTGTACGTGACTCCACCTCGGTGAATGGTGCACTGCCCGCATAATTCTCATCGCAAGAATCTTTAAGCTCCGGAAAACCGACTCCCCAGCCCAGTTCAAAGTTGTAGTTGAGATTGGTGCCGATGCAGTCGCCGACATTCGGTGTCCTCGTGTTCCTCCACGTAGAATTCGTTTTGCGAGAGTACTCGTAACCATCCGGATTCGCCAGTGGCATAATGTGCCAATCAAAATCGGCCAGAAGATCGGCATTTTCCTCGAACTCAACTACCAACTTATAAATGGTATAGAGGGCGGCCACGGGGGTCATCCATTCGCGGGCGTGCAGAGCGGCATCCATGAATATCACCCTCTTTCCCAGACGCCCATCTCCGTTCGTTATCATGGCGAGTTTTAGGGAACGATTTTCGTACGTTAGACCCATGTCCTTTAGTGTGATCCGATCGGGGTATGTTCGTGCCAGCTGATCCAGGTACTCCATCACCCCGTCGTAGTCGAGGTAGTCATCCAGTTGAAGTTGGTCTCGGTGTCTCGTCTCCGCCAGCGGATTAACGATCGCCACAAGAAAGACGATCGCGGACAGAGGTCGCCACATCTTGACGGTGAGACAATAGACAAGGCACTGACTTTGTCCGACTACATCGCGATTATGTATAGAGATTTGGGAAAGAGCTATAAAAAATTGAATGCTAGAAAAAACCCATCTCTCTAGAAAAAACCCATCCTCTAGAATAAAGGGAATGGGAGATAGGGCTAGTAAGCGCCTTTGAATGGTCCACTTGTAAAAGTTCTTCTCATTTCGAAAAATTAAAAACAATAAAACTTTTGTACTTTTCCGAAAACTAGTGTTTTAAAATCGTATTTATCGATTATGGGCATCATTTAAAAGCGTAGAATTCTAAAAGCGTAATTTTTTAAAAACAACCACGCTCTCGTTATAACGGATAGAAAATGTGTTCTACAACACGTGTTCTACAATAAGGATAAAATAAGTAGCCTAAATATTTTCCATTTCCAAAAATAGAAAAAAATTTTATTAAAATGAGTTAATGTAGCAGCCCTAAAGCGTATTTTTTAAAACAACCACGCTCTCTATAACGGATAAAAATCTGTTCTAGCACGTGTTCAAAAAGTATATTATTTCCAAATTTTTCCCCGTTTAGTATAAAAAATATTCTTAATTCTTCAGATACAAGTTTTTTTGAAAGATATTTTTTCAGATCAATACTTCGAACGGAACATCAACTTCTATGAATCAACTTCCAAAAACAATGACGGTGTGATTTCTGGATCTTAAGAAATAAGAAATACTTGAGAATTATAAAATTATTTAATTTAGTTTAAATCTACTTTATTATTATGAGACAAGAATACAAAGCAAGGAAAGGAATGTCCCAACAACAATATGTTTAAATGTCAACTTTTTATACCCTTGCAGAGGGTAATAATAATTTTAGTCAAAAGTTTGCAACGCAGTGAAGGAGACATTTCCGTCCCATTTTTTGTTCTTTGGGATTTGGTAATATTTAAATAAAATGGAATTAGGGTTTTAATTAAATTAAAATCGGACAACAATATCATATAGCTGCCATAGAAGCGATGGCAAAATGCAGCACAAAGTGGTCTTCTTCTTTTCGGTTATCCAAATATTTTTTAACTGAACTCCTCCAACGAAATGGCCAATGAAAGTACTTTCATTCCCTTTGATCCTTGCAGGTGCCTCTGAAACGCTGACCACCACTTTGGATACGGCCAAGGAGACCGTTGGCACGGCGGTGGCCGGAATTACCAATGAGCTGGGCAACGCCTTTAAGGAGGGCACTCAGGCTGTGGACGAGGCCAAGCACAAGGTGATGGAGGGTCTGCACCTGGAAAAGCCCACCGAATCCGAGGCGAAGACGGAGGCGGTGGAGACCACAGCTGAGATAAGCACTTCCCGGGCTGCGACACCCCAAATTCAGGAAGATGCGGATAGCCTGAAGACTTCGACTCCGGAGCCGGAGATCGAAAGGGCCTTGGCCAACGAGGAGGAGAGTCCACCCACTCCAAAGCCCTCGCTGGAGGAGATGGTCCAGCTGAGTGCCGAGGTCTCCCAGGTGGCAGATGCACCTGCTGTTCCTGCCACCGAGTCCTCCGCTCCGGCAACTGAGGCCCCTCCAACCGAATCCTCCGCACCCGTGGAGTAAGTAAGCCTAGAGAGCACCTGATGCATCGCAAATCGTTAACCCGTAACCCCCGTAGAACCATCGCAAATCCGTAAATCCGTAGCGCCTCTGCACCCTGAAGTTTTCGCGTAGTTTGTACCTGCAACGTTCGCTTATGATTCGTAGTTCCCGTCGTAGAATCCCGATACTTACATTTATTATAGCCTAATCAACATATTACTTTCTTCCCTCTCTCTCTCTTCTTGACTTGTATGTAAATTGTAAATAAACTTACTCTATTTCTATGTACATATCATATACCCTGCCTTTGTTTACTTGCGACCTCAGCTAATCAAACTAACAAGAAAAGCAACAGCAACAGTCTTGTACGTAGTGTTGGTAATATATTTTAAGCATCTTACACGGCTAATGATATATTGTTCGGTTTGCCGGATAGGTGTTTTTGCAAAACTACAAAGCTACTAAATAAACTAAATTAAAGCCATTTTATTTCGCAAGATAAAAAGAAAAGGATTTCTATTGAGTAAAGATTCCTACTTGAGAAAATACGTTTAAAATTCGATACTTAATATTCTTTTCACACATCTTATTTAAACCAAATTTTTTCATCAAGCAAATGGATTGGTTTCTTTTTCTAAAAATTCCAATTGAAATTTACAATAAATTTTTAACATGATATATATAATAGAAAATATACAAAATATGTAAAATAAAAGTACATGCTGAAAGTTTTGCAAAACCTCTTATTACATAGACACTCACATATTTACTCAACAACTTAAATACCCCACAAGAAAATAAAAATCCCTATAGCTCTCTATTAACACACCAACACCTTTCCACACCCAAATCCTAATACACTCACTCACAAACCTCCAGAACTCGAAAAGTGCGTCGCAAGCTCGTGGGAAAGGATAAAAAGGGTCAAGAGCAGCAGCGACCCAGTACAACTGAATGGGAAAAGTTCGCGGATCAGTTGGCCAAAAGCAAGAAGTTCAAGCCGTATGAGAGCTTTGCCCACAGCCAGAATAAGTTCTCCGTTTACCAGGATCACACGAGTTTGCGGGACAAGCCGAATCACTACGATGGTCATTTTAGCGGTGGAAACTCGCTGAGTGCCTCCCAATCGGATTTATCCAGTGGTCACATAACTCCAGCCCCCACGCGTCGAGGTCAGCGGGAGTTCGCCAAGTTCGTGGGATCCGAACAGCCGGGCAGTATTTCAAGGTCGAGTTCCAGGCTCTCGAATGCCGCCACTTCCAGGACCTTTGACTTTAATCCTCAACGCGAACGCATTAGTCTTCCAGTGACCACTCGCATTGGATCCGGGATCCAAAGAGCTCCTGCGGAAAGGATTCCCGGTTGGGGCAGAGGCAGGCCGGCTCCTTTGGCGGAGGAACCGGGATTTGGTCGCAGGATGAGCACTGGGGTAATCCCACAGCCCTTGCGACCTGAGAGGGAGAAATTCATAGTGACCGGAAGTCGTCGAGTGGTACAACCCATAACCCCAACGAAGGACGTGAGAAGGGAAAAGTCATCCAAAAAGCAGCCTTCCAAAAATGCTTCCTCCAGAGAATCGTCGTATTTGGAGTTTGATTCCCGCAGAGCCGATAAGAGTCCTTTAAGGATCAAAAAACCTTTAACCAAGGATATAGTTCGCTCTAGAGAACCATCTTTGAATGAGTTTGATTCGTTAAAGTCACAAAGAAGTCCATTTAGAGGATCAAAACCAAAGGTACAACATCCCACAAAGAATATAGCTTCTAGAGAGCCATCTTATACGGAGCTTGAATCCCGAAAAACTGATAAAAGTCCCTTAAGAGTACAAAACCCTATTGCAAAGGATGCTGTGAGATCTAGAGAGCCGTCTTACGTTGAATTTGATTCATTAAAAGGAGATAAGAGTCCATTAAGAATACAAAAATCATTGGCAAAGGAGGCAGTAAGATCTAGGGAGCCCTCCTATATTGAAATTAACTCTTTTAAAGAAGGTAAGAGTCCATTTAGAGTACAAAAATCGTTGGCAAAGGAGGCAGTAAGATCTAGGGAGCCCTCTCATATAGAATTCAATTCCTTTAATGAAGATAAAAGTCCATTAAGAGTACAAAAATCGTTGGCATGCCAAATGGTGCGATTGAGAGAACACTCTTATATTGAATTCGATACATATAAAGCAAAAAAGAGTCCTTTAAGGATACCTGAACAAATAAAAACAAATGAAGACCAAGAACTGCTGGAGAAGCTCAGCAAACTACACCATATTTCTTCAGAAGACTTACTTCAAAAAGATCTCAGTCCCAGTACCGAAACCCCAACCCCAACAAACCAGAATCTATCCTCTGTACCTCAAACACCTCAAATTACTGAAGCTCCAGAGGCTGCGGTTGCCACCTCAAAGATGCCATCACCATCACCATCGCGTGTTTCCAGCGCCAAATCCTCAGACAGCAGTAATTTAGATGTGATAATCCAACCTATGAGCAGTCTGAATACACCCAGTATGAAATCCTTTACCCAGTCACCGGATCAAGTGGTGATGGAGGGATACGAGGACTCCGATTTGGAAGCGGCACTGGCCAGATTGGAGATCCTCAGAGGATCCACTGCCACTCTACATTCGCTAAGATCCTGCAGTCCTGGTAGACATACCTATACCGCCTCTCTGCTCAGTTCGCGACGAACTTCTCCTTGGGTGATGAGAAAGGATTACGGAGGATCCGTCGGAAAGGAAAATAAGCCATCTGCATTGATCGCAAGCTCTCTGAAATCCTCACAGGCCAGCAATCAAACAGTCGAACGCTGCGATATTTGCTATAATGAGTTTCTCCTTAATTAAGAAAAAATTAAACCATGATACAGAAAACTACTGCCACAAATAACTGTGAAATACACCATAATCTCTTAGAATCGCCTTTCAATTTAAACACAATGGTATTTTCATTGTTATTACATACCCTTAGGTTTTTATAAATTTATGTTTTAATTTCTTAAAAATATTTAAAGAAGATGCCTCAATAAATAGTAATCAAAACTATAACTTCCATTTCCATTTACTAGCTATTAATACAAACAGTATAAATAGGAATAGATTGTAATGTTTTGTAATATCATAAGACTAGCAATAAATCAATCGAGCCCAACGATAAAATGCTAACCCAGAAAAAACGAAGTTGAATTTTATTACAACGCTTTAATTGCGAAACTTTTATGGCAGGAGTTCAAATCAAAACCGAATCACCCTGCAGTCCGATTTGGATTCGTCTAATTGATGACTTAATAACGAAATTGAAATGTTTATCTTGCCGTTCACTCAATTATTCTGCCACTTGAAGCTCGGTGCGGCGGATTGAAGTTCGTTTTACGTTTTTTGCTTTACGGTTTCGCGTTCCGTGTAGCCGTGATTCCACATGGCTTCCACATCCACATCTCCCGTCCGTGACTTAATGAACTATTAACAGCAATGATAGTAATTTGTTGCAGCGGCGGCGGCAGCAAATGAAATTGCTTTTGGGCAGCGCAGCAGCAAACAACGAGTTGTCTTCATGGCACTTTTTGGCAAACAAATAGACAATTCAACAAAGCGACATGCAGACAAATGACTACAGTGGATACAACCAGCAGCGAACATATATCTGCCTGGATTTTCGCGGGGGTGTTACCTGTGCTCCATGCCCCTCCACCCCCTCCTTGCACCTGCCGCCTGCAAATTGAGTTTGACTATGGCATCTATTTTGGCACGATTTTCAAATTACGTACATTGACTCGCAAAATGTTTGCTTTATGCCGCAATTAATTCCCAGGCGGAAGAAACAGTGCCCCACGGGGGTGAGCGGGTCCAAAAGTTGAAGGTCTTCTGCGGTCTCTGTGGCGTGACATTGAAAGTGAAAGAACAAGTTTTGATGGGTTTCGTCTCGTTTTGTTTTCTATTTTTAATGACTTTTGCATGGCCACTTGGTTCATTGAACGCAGGCAAACGCACAAAAAACGAAAAGGAAAACCAGCAACCACCGCTAATGATCTATGAAGTGCAAGTGTTTGTACTTTTACTTTCATTTATCAAAAGTGGAGGCGTCATCTTTTTTTGGTCGAGACAGTGGAAATTAGCAGCAGTGGGGCAGAAAATGCATTTTTAGCACTTCATTTTCTGGTTATGTCTGTTGTTAGTTGTGTGTCTGCTAGTTTGTGGTAAAACGAGCTTTTAATCAAATTTACATGTGCCAGCTATCCATACGCACTGTGGGCTGGAGGAAAACAGCGAAAACTGCAAATTTTCTGTGTAAAATTGATTTATGCAATTGTTGTTTGGGGCAAGCAGCAGCTGATTTGTTTATATGTTCAGGCGGCAGCGGCAAGCATGGCAAATCAATAAGTTTATGCAACAGGCGGCGATAAAATCTAAGAAATCACCGAAGACAATGCCTTAACAGAGCTTCCTGCTACAGTTTCGTTTCGACCATTTTTAAGGCACTTTTCGACCAGTTTTAACAGCGCCCATTGAGTTAACAGTGCTCTGTGCGCATGCGCATGCGCATTTTCGAATTTTTCGGATTTTCAATTAATGTCTTTCCTTTTCATTTCCATTTCAGTTAACGCGGCAACGCACTTGCTGCTGGCTGCAAATAGCAATCATTTGTTAGGCAAACATTTCTACTTTTCGGCTGCTTTCGTTTGGCCTTTTGCCAACATTTTGCATAACCTGGGTCAAGACGGAAATGCTGGAGGAGGCCAGCCATTAATAATCTTTGGCTCTCGGCTTTTCGGGACTTCAGCTGCCCGCTGCTGGTGACTTCTTCAATGCGTTTGGCCAGAGCCTTTTGTTTCAGCCGGTCAGCCAGTTGGCCCAAAACGTGCCCGCGCCACAAGCCAAAGTCAGGTACAAACAGCCCTCTGCCACTCACGAACATAAACTGACCATCGACTTACAAGCTTTTTATTTTTCAATATATATTATTGACATTTTCAAATCTAAAACCAAATCAATAGTTGAATTCTTCAAAGTTTATACAATTACAGTCCAAGTGCCCGACTTACAAATTGTTTAAGGTTTTGTCGTTGCTTTATTAAATAAAAATGTATTTGCCATGAGAAAAATTTGTTTATGCAACTGGTCAAATAATTAAGTGTCAGCTTGTTTCAAAAATTATATAGGACTTCACATAACATAATTATTTACGTGATATATCTATTTTCCTGTATTAAAAATGTGTTATCTTATTTTCGCTTTGTGCAATCGGGAGTCAAGTCGGTGACCCAATCTTTTTTACCTCTGCCTTTTTATCCGATCTGCACTCCCTGCTGCACCGAGCTGGTGTTCAGTAGCCTCCGCATAATCCAAATTAAATTGTCAAGAGAAATGACAATTCAATACACACAATCTTGTTAAGCAAATATGAAAGAAAATACCAAAACAAAAAGCACTCTGTCATCCGTACTCTCCAACAAAAGCGGAGACAGCAGGAAAGAGTGAGAGTGAGACCAAAACCGAGACGGAGGTTCCAAAAAGTGTCAAATTAAACTGTCAGAGCGACTTTTAACCCATTTTCGTGGGCTATTACATAAGCTACTTATCAGTTGATAACTGGGCTCTCGGGGTGTTGGAAATACTAATAGGGAAATGGAAATGCGAGTGCGTAGGTGGTGCGACTGTAGAGCGGTCAGGCGCATAAATCAGCCCGGACACTCAGCCACTCGAGTTCATTCGCTCATGCGTCAGCCAAACAAAAGACTTAGGCAACGAACTCCAGCCGCTGTTGCAACAGAATGCATTCCTACGAATGTGTGAGTGTGTCAACAGCTGGGACCGCCACTGCATATTCTTAGCCATGTGTGTCTAGCCCTACCCAATGCCCCCGACCATCCTGCTGCATTCCCATGTGAACTGCGCTAATTCGTGACTACTTTGTTGGGGCGACTGCTGAGGACCCCGGCACACACATCGCCAGATGCACAGGGAGAATAATTAAGATTTTGAATATATTACCAACAAAATTAAAGAGAGGTGTGCCTCAGAAATGTGTTACAATTTAAATAAATATTATTCGACAGGGGCACTCCCGAATGTAATTAAATATATTTCAAATTATAATTTAGAAACTTTCGCGCTTGCCTATTTATTTATGTATTATTGAACCCTACTTGAAGTAAGCATTAAGCAAAGTCCAAATACTCCATTGATCAATCAAACTATGCCCTTTTTATTTTTGCACCTTTTTTGAATCCTAAAGTAATAGAATTATTAGATAAATGATTCTTCCGATAAGAAATGATATGTTTTTGTTATTTTCCCAAAAGGTTCATTAAAGCTCTTTTTATGAAGATAAGATTTCCAATTTCAGACTTAAGTCTACACTAGTTTAAAATCTTTGTGCTTCAGCATAACAACAGAAAAAATGGAATGTTTTGCAAATCATATATATTTCTCCCTCTGCTTACAAAAACAAGAAGGCACGCTAAATGCCCTATACACACACACCCTTTAGCCCCCAAAAACTGGGGAAACATCTGTGATAGATTTGAATGACCCACTCCCAAGGCTCGAGGCTCAAGCCACCGCCTCGAGAGCTGGCGCTTGTGAGTCAGAAATCGGCTCGCTATATGCCCCATTTCGAAGGCAACTCCTGCCCACGCCGCAGGCGCAAACACTTTACTTTTGTTTTCGAAACGGTCGCAGTGGCAGTACCCAGTTTTAGTTGCAGTCCCAAAATGAACTACCCAACGATTCGCAGACACAACAAAACACGGCACACAGCTCAGCTCTCATTCTCCGTTGTCAGTTGGATTCGGCTGTTTCTGTTTCGATTTTCGGGGTTTTTCTTCTTCAGCGTTCGACAACGTTGTGGTTGTCGCTTTCGTAGTCACACAAAGATAGAAATCGCATGACACGATCTTGTGGCCCGAAACAGGCGCCAGTAACCCAGTTTTCAGGTTTCAGACCAACAGCAAAAGCAACAGCAACAACGGCAACTACGATGACTCCCTTTTGGCCACAGCCAAATGAAAATGAAAATGAAACGTTTTGGGCATAAATAAATAATGACAACAGAGCAGCCACCAAAAAGGCAACAACAAATGATCCGACAGTCCTCCCTGCATTTGCATTTGCCAGCAGATCTCTTCCAAAAGGGTATGGTCCATACATTGTGGGGTTTGGCTTAACCCAAACTCAAAACTATAGATTTGGCGAAAGAAATATAAAATATTCGAATTCCTGCCTACTTTTATTCTTCTTTCAACGTTGAACACCCAATTTTTACAAGTAGATAAACTTCATTTGAAGACACTTTTGGTCATGTAAAATTATGCATTTCAATGATGGTTATTCCCAAAATGGGTATAAATAAATAATAATAAATTAATAAATCGTGGAAACGCTGAGCTCACTTGCATTATAGTAATAATATGTAAACTTTGCAAGTTTTTATATAAACATTTTATCGCTTTAGTTTTATGGATCTTACAAAAAAGAATGTTATTAATAATAATATAGAATACAACCAAACCCTCGTAAAATAAATCGTATCTTACGATTCAGTACCACTATTGCCCACAGTTCAAGGTACTTTAAAATGAGAAATGTTTAACTTATCAATGGCATTCGCAGAGACTTTTTCAATGATATAAATCTTTCAATCTACTCGCATGAAACTATATCAGATCCTCCTTTGGACTTTCTTTCAGCCTGTGAGGGTAAATTGGCTTCTGTTCACAAACCAAACCATTTCTCGTTTGTTGTTTGTTATTGTTTGTTTGCTGCTTGTTATTTGTTTGGGTTTTTTTAACTTCGGCATTTTGGTTTGTTTGTTTCAAGTTGTTTGGGCTCAGCCTAACAAGCAGCCA